GGCTGTTTCCATTAGAAGTTTGAGTAATGCCACCAGTTTTGGCTGATTCCATTAGAAGTTTGAGTAATGCCATCAGGTTTGGCTGATTCCATTAGAAGTTTGAGTAATGCCATCAGGTTTGGTTGGTTCCATTAGAAGTTTCGGTAATGCCACCAGGTTTGGCTAATCCTATTAGAAATTTGAGTAATGCCACCAGGTTTGGCTGATTCCATTAGAAGTTTGAGTAATGCCACCAGTTTTGGCTGATTCCATTAGAAGTTTGAGTAATGCCATCAGGTTTGGCTGATTCCATTAGATGTTTGAGTAATGCCATCATGTTTGGCTGATACCATTAGAAGTTTATGTAATGCCACCAGGTTTGGCTAATCCTATTAAAAGTTTGAGTAATGCCACCAGGTTTGGCTGATTCCATTAGAAGTTTGAGTAATGCCATCAGTTTTGGCTGATTCCATTAGAAGTTTGAGTAATGCCATCAGGTTTGGCTGAGCCCATTAGAAATTTGAGTAATGCCATCAGGTTTGGCTGATTCCATTAGAAGTTTGAGTAATGCCACCAGGTTTGGCTGATTCCATTAGAAGTTTGAGTAATGCCACCAGGTTTGGCTGATTCCATTAGAAGTTTGAGTAATGCCATCAGGTTTGGTTGGTTCCATTAGAAGTTTCGGTAATGCCATCAGGTTTGGCTAATTCCATTAGAAATTTGAGTAATGCCACCAGGTTTGGCTGAGCCCATTAGAAATTTGAGTAATGCCATCAGGTTTGGCTGATTCCATTAGAATTTGAGTAATGCCATCAGGTTTGGCTGATTCTATTAGAAATTTGAGTAATGCCACCAGGTTTGGCTGATACCATTAGAAGTTTCGGTAATGCCATATGGTTTGGCTGTTTCCATTAGAAGTTTGAGTAATGCCACCAGTTTTGGCTGATTCCGTTAGAAGTTTGAGTAATGCCATCAGGTTTGGCTGATTCCATTAGATGTTTGAGTAATGCCATCATGTTTGGCTGATACCATTAGAAGTTTATGTAATGCCTCCAGGTTTGGCTAATCCTATTAAAAGTTTGAGTAATGCCACCAGGTTTGGCTGATTCCATTAGAAGTTTGAGTAATGCCATCAGTTTTGGCTGATTCCATTAGAAGTTTGAGTAATGCCATCAGGTTTGGTTGGTTCCATTAGAAGTTTCGGTAATGCCATCAGTTTTGGCTAATTCCATTAGAAATTTGAGTAATGCCACCAGGTTTGGCTGAGTCCATTAGAAATTTGAGTAATGCCATCAGGTTTGGCTGATTCCATTAGAAGTTTGAGTAATGCCACCAGGTTTGGCTGATTCCATTAGAAGTTTGAGTAATGCCATATGGTTTGGCTGTTTCCATTAGAAGTTTGAGTAATGCCACCAGTTTT